CAAAGTGACACGAGAGGGTCAGGCAAACATGCAACTCAAACTCACCCCTTTTCATACCCAAAAGCTGCAGCTCACGACCTAATCCACGATGTCCGGTCTGGCCCAATTGGGCAGCTTCTCCTTGCATCTCTCACACGCAGTCGTCTGCATGTTCTGCGGCAAATCCGCAGGTTCCATAATGGCTTTCGCCACCCGTCCCGCTGCAATCCAGGGCCATCCACACGCCGTCACCCATTCATTTGGGTGATTTCTGAAGCAGTTGCCCATGGTGGAGTGCAGCTTGCCAGTCACTAAGTTCACGACGATCTCGGGGTGGCTCCACTGAGTGAACATCTTCAAAATCGCTGTGCGGTCCAGGGGCATGTTGCACTTTTCGGCCAGCTCCTCATATTCTGTCTTCAGCTGGTCGTATGCCATGGCCATGTCGTTCGTCTTGGCTGACAAGGCAGCTATCTGGTCCCTCATCTCGAGGTGGTTCAGCACTTGTAGATTTCCATCTGGCGATTCTTCGTACGCCTCCTCAACATATGCCAGCACTGCCGATGAGGAATGCCTCGCGAAGAACTGGATCAAAGGGAGTGGAGTATTCTTACGAGCCAGGTCCTTCACTCCCGACCTTCTGAAGGTATGTCCGGACACCTCATTCGTGGCCAGCGCGTTTGCTTCAGGAAGTGCCAGGCTCAACCGACGAGCGTCGTGCTTGAATGCCTCGATCATTGCAGCTTTCTCCACCACCAACATGGGGTCTCTCTGTTGACCGATCAGCGGGGCATCCACCACCTCGGTCGATGACGCTGTGGTCATCAATCGATGCCCCTGCCTCTGCACCAAGTGAAGCGCAGTGCAGTACGGGCATGTCGACTTCTCCTCTGGACTCGACTTGCAGATGCATCCAAGGGTGCGACGTGCTCCTCGCCCTGAAGGATCGTTCTTCGTCACCGGAAGGTTGAGGGTGACCTGGAGCAGGCGGGGGTTCAAGTCGACCTCCTTCATGTAGATGCACGCTAATTCCTGCTCACGTAGAATGAAGCGAGTGGCGAACACCCAAACTTCGTACCGGTCCGCCGGCCATGTGGGGCTTCCAGCGTCTCTTGGGCCCTTCTCACGAAGGAAGGCCAGCCACTCCAAAGGCACTTCAGGGGCTCGCCGAGGAGGTCCAATGGCCCTCGTCACAGCTCTCTTCGCGTCCCGCATGGCCATGTGCAGCACGTCCGACACTGGGTACCCCTTTCGTTTGTGCCACTGGAAGGCCTCATTTATGTAGGCCATTGCACTGCGATATCCCGCGGCTTTCAATGCAGCGGACACTTCATGCACCTGAGCAGCAGTGATGGGGACAGGCTCATAGCCCAACGATTGCGACAGCCTCGACCATGTTTGACGAATGGCGGTCTTTGAGCTGACCGTTTGTTGAGCATAAATGGCATCCATGTATTCATTTTGAGCCTTCTCCTTCATCTCTGCCGACTGGGTGAATTGCAAGGCAGCTGCTAGTGACCCCTTCATCCTCTTGTTGCTCTGCGACGGGGTCGGTGGTGCGAGGTGTCGACGACGATCGATGCCGGGTGTTCCTGGACATGGTGTACCTGGGTTGACAGTCATCGCCGGTGGTATGGTCAAACCACTTCCACTTGCGGTGCCCTCCCCGTCCGATAGAATCTCCCACGGTTCACCCAATACATCCCACGCGACAGATCTATCTGTCCTCGCGGGTCGATGGCTGGGGCCATCCATGTGGCCCGAACCAGCTGCGTTCTCGGGTCCTTGATCATTTCGACCATTGACGTGGGCCACTGTCCATCTCGGCAGGCCTTCACTTGTAGTCTCGGTCGTTGCAATTGGCACTCTCGGGTCAGTTGGATCCTGGTGAACTACCACCACAGTCTCCTCTGGCCAGCCCAGGGCTCGCCTGGCTGCCATGACCCCGGGCGGAGGGCGATTTGCTTCATCAGCCCGCACTAGCACCGATCGAACTGGTGCCAGGATGGGCCCTCTATTGCTCCTCATGCCCCCTCGGCGCCTCTGACATGATCGAAGGAGCATGTCGCATGAAACAGCTACCTACCTGTCCCGCCTGGATCCCGTTCAGCTGCGGTCGTTTCCTCTCTTTTGCGACGTGTCAGGCGTGCAAGTCGTGACGGGGCCAAGCTCGAAACAACGAAGACAAAGGGGGCACCTTCACTTGTTTTGCGCCTCTCAAACCTGTGGGGATCTGTGCACCCTCGCTCAATCTAGAAAGCGAATCTGCCCACAAGTTGAGGACGCCCCTCAGGTGCCGGCCCCAGACTGCGTCGATCTCGAGTGATTCCAATTGCAGGGCGATCTCCCCTGCGAGCTGAGCCATCAAGGGGGACTTTCCCCGCAGTGTCATGACTGTATGTAAAGCTGACGTGCTGTCGCTATGGACGAAAAACTGGATGCATTGCTCTTTGAACAATTCGGAAAACAGTCTGATTGAAATGAAAATGGCCAACAATTCAAATTCCGACTGGTATGCGGGGTCGTTCAGGCGTGCTTGTCCCCCCAAGTCTTGACAGTCCCGCTCTGTTAGGACATGTCCGATAAAATGAGTGGGCTTTTCGCAAACGAACAGCACACTTCCGAGACCCGTGGGTGAAGCATCTGTCTCAATCCGAACACCTGTGGGGCTTCGGTCCCAGCGAAAGGTCCGAACTAGCGGCGGGGCGACGGGCGAACAAGGAAGACATGATTTGATCTGCAACAATTTCTTCAACCATCGGATTGGATGGGACACCTGACGAACGAACGTCAGACCCTTCCTCCGACGTGTCTCTGCCCGCTTAGGTCCCGAGGCCATCCTTTCCTTTGACATGGCCACCGCCGCCCACAGTTGGCTCGTCCATGGCCTAGCCAAGGGAATGAGATGAGACACCCGCGACAAAATTCCGCACAAGTGTTCAAGTCGTTTCGTGGCCATCATACCCTTACAGGTTTCGACCTCATGGATGGCTTCAGTGATCTTGGTGACTTTGTCAGGGGGCAGCGAAATTTCAAGATGCCTACCATGTTCACCCACCAAGGTCAGCTGAACACCGATCCAGTCAAGGGAGGGCCCCCTCCTGGCCTTGTGCCATGCCAGCTTGAAACCTAAGGCCTCCCGCAACAAAGTGGTTTGCAGGAACCAATAAGTGCGATCACGTGCAATTCGGCCCTTGGCAACGATTATTGGATCGTCTACATAGCACTGGAGTCTCGCGGTTTGCGAGGGAAAACAGGCCTGTGCTAATCTCATGGCCGCTGCTGCGATCCGTCCCCACAACACGGGACCACATGCGAGCCCAAAGCAAATGCATTTGGGGAGTATGTACGTGCCATCGAGTGACTTGATGCACAACCACTTTCGTTCCCTGGGGTCAACCCGGAGTGTGTAAAAGGCGTCAGTGAAATCGACTACCATGAACTCGAGTGACTCTTCAGGGTGCATTTCGTTTAAAAGTTCACGTGTGGCTGCAGCAACATCTGACACTCTAGGTAAACAAATTCTTTCAAACAATGACATGCATCCGTTCACCCCGGATCTTCTCATGTCGACGATCAACCTCGTTTTGATCTTCCCCTCCCTTTCCTTCTCGATGCAGGCCAGCTGAGTCAATTTTGCTTCCGGTCCGACGAGGGATACCACTTTGGCCCAGGTGTTCGCTCTATCTGCACGGCCGGAGTCCACCATTCGGTCTAGCTCGGCCTGAGCACGCTCCCCAGCGTCGTAGAAAGAGGCATAGTTCTCTGCCTCTCCATCCCAATCCTCAAGGAGCACACCCAAGGCCTGGGAGGCCTTGATTGAAGCGGACACCTCATCTGTCGCTGGGAACACATTCGTGTGCTCGATTGGCGCGCTCAGCCCAAGCGGCACCCCATCGTTCAGCCATCTCGGCAGGACCTGTGCATCAGCATCGCCAGCAGCGTCCAGCATTGCTTGGAATAGGGCGACCTTGTAGCCCTCTGCATTCTGGGTTTCATTGACCTCAAATTCTTCATGCAGCATTTGCACCGCTTTCTGTATGAGTTCCGGAGACACTTTCATATCTTTCTCGAAGAGACTCAAGTCGTGCTCTCCGATGCATAGTGCCAGTGCTTCCCGAACGCGGTGCCCCATCTTCCTCAAGGCTCTATTGCGTGCCACTGCCTTGCGGGGGTCTCTCAACCCCCCCACAGCGGCAAGGTTCTCTTCCTCCCTGAGCTCGATCTTCGACTTGTTGTTGACCTCCTTCGATGCCTGCGGGCTGTTCATCTCCTTCTTGGCCTCCTTGGTGCATTCCTTCTGAGCTGCCAACTCTGCTCTCTTTCTCTTCATCATTTCCAACTTGTTCTTCATCAGGACCAGCTGGTCGCTCTTTGTGTGCACCATTGTTCTCGATGCCAGCCATTCGTATCCCCCCGGGCTCTCCAACCACGTCAACAGCGCTTGAGCCCAAGCATTGCATAGTCCGAAGGGATACTCTGCCGCCCTCGAAGTCTTCCACACCCATTCCCCGGTCACGGGGTTCCACGTTTTCCCAGACAGCCCGCCTGGGAGGTGGAAATGTGGTCTCACATCTTCGCACTTCAACTTCACTTCTGCCATCCATGCGGCTGAGGTCACGATCTTTGTGCTCTTCCTGGTGTGAGCTCCGTAGGGGCACTGGTCCAGGTCCACGTTGCGCACGCCTGCTATCTTCAAGATCTTCACCATCTTTGGTTGCTCCCAGGCGTACGATGTGGAAGGGTTCTCCAGTGACCACGTCTTGCCAGCCTCCTCGACCAAGTAAATCAGGGCGATCACCCGCTCGAGGATTCGATTTCCTTCCTCTGCTGTGGGATGTCCCCACCCCTCTGGTCGGCTGTCTGATCTGATCACCGGCACTGACCCGTGCCCGTCTTGCCTCCGAGCTCTCGAGAAACTCCTGCACGGGAAGGCCATGTGAGTGTGGTCTGCACTCAGGACTGCAGCTTTTGCTTTCACGAAGCCCTCGTCTGTCAGGATGTCCCAGTCCTCCATCACGTCCACAGGCTGTTGCACCTCCACGAGATTTCCGCAAAGTCTTTCGATCTCTCGCGAGAGTCCAGCCTTTCCCGCGAAGAGTTCCAGGAACCTGTACTTTCTGGTGCTGTCTTCCCGCTCGAACTTCTTGTCGTCCGCCGACTTCATGGGTGCACTGTTCATCGGCTTCTCCTCCACTCCAGATCGTTCGGCCTGGGCATTCCCAATGTCGACGGCCGGGTCCTTCATCGTCTTCAGCTCTTCGGGTCAGTTCTTGTTCTTGGTCTTGCTCTTTCCTTTGCCCTTCGACTTTCCTGAAGTCTTCTCCGGGCATTGGGAGTTCGGGTGCTTTCCCAAACAAATCTGACACGAGTGGACCCGCCCATCTTTGCATGGTTCCGGACAATCTCCGGGCTTGCCCTTGGCGTACCTGAAGCATAGTTCGTGGCCTTCCGAAGTCGTGATGTATTGCTTTCCCCACTTCTGCGGATGGTCTGACGTGCTTCCGCTCCCACCACCCGCCTGCGACGGTGCTTCTTTCTTCGCCTTCTTTGGCCTCTTCTTTCGGCCAGATCCGTCCTCCTCCAAACCCATGGCGTCCTTCGCAGGTGATGGGATGTTGACCTTCTCCGCCTTGTCCATGGTCACGTTGCGCCCTCCCCGGGCTATGAACATAGTTGCTGGCCCTATCACATGTTCGTCCCAGAACTCCCTGTTGCGAGCTGCATAGGTGAAGACACCAATCCATGGTTGGTTCGGCTGAAAGTCCAGCCCCATCGGAAGGCGATTGTCTGCTGCAGCCTTCGTGAGATGTCTCCTGTATCTCTCGAACATCTCTGACCGGCATTTGTCCTCGGCCTTCATGATCAGGTGCCAAGTCTCTGGGAAGTCCTGGTTCAACTTGGAGATGCGGTCGTAGTACTCCTCCAAACATGCAGATGTGATCACCCTCAAATGATCTGCTCCAGCAACTGCAGGGGGGTACCTCAGCATAAACAGGATCGCCCTGAACACTTTCCAGCATGCCTTCCATGCATCGAATGATGGCGGCCCTGGGATGTCCAGGGCCTTGAAGGTGCCATCCTGCTGGAGGAGCCACGACCTCGTCTTCAGCTGTTTCTGCATGGTCCTCCCGAACGGAGTCAATATGCTGAAGTCTGCATATGGGCTTTCGCCCCGACGAACGATGCGATCTCGAAGGGCTGCAATTTGCTCTGCTGTGGGTTCTGAGTCGTCGCTGGGTTCCGCTCCTGTGACCTCGATGTGCCACAGGTGTGCCTGGTCCAGTTCTCCTCGGGTCATGAGGTCTATCTCTGAATCGTCCATCTGGTCCGTGACACTCGAAACCTTCACTTTCTTCGTGGGTGAAGCTCCTGCAACGACTGGGCCTCCTGGAGCGACTGCAGGAACAGGAGCTGGGTCTGCCAGTGGATCGATGTCTGCCATGACAAGGGATTGCCTGGCCACCCTCCACATATACGCGACGTGGATCATCTCCATCGCGTGCAACTCCCGTCGATTGGGGTCGGTGCCAACCCGGATGGTCCTCAAGGTCTGCCTCAGCGTGGAGGCAGGCAGCATTGCAAACAAAGTTGGCGTAGCCACACCACCCAAAGCCTGGTCGACGGCATTCCATATCGCCTCGGTGCAATGACAGTGGGCCCTGATGCGGGCAATGGAGTCGAGTCCGGCCAGCGTCGCAGCATCCGGCAGTCCATAACCTGCCATCGCCAAGGTGGCCTAGCGCCACTCCCACTGCAACGCAGCAAAAGCAGAAGGGCCAATGCATGCGGCCAGCGGTCCGGCCCGGTCACGACGCACCCAAGGCGCCAGGCAAAGGCCAACACCAATCCCCAAACAAAAGGTCAGCGCCAGGAGGATTTCAAGAACCATGGGGGCAAGGACCTAACCTCGCCCTGTGGGGTCACTTGAGAGGTCATATGACGTGAATCGATCAAGTGACATCGAAACCTCCCTAGTGCGTTCACTCCCTGCTGTTTTCACTGCACAAACAAGTTTGTTTCACAAAAAAAACAAGACAAGACCCTGAGATCTCTTCAGTCTCAGAAAGACATCGATGGGCCTCCTTTGGCCTCGCATATTCTTCGTTTCTCCATCTCCTTCTGCATCTGCTTTCGCACTTCTGGCCAACGAGGCAAGGAGGTACGCGATTGGGGCAGTAACAAGATGCTATTGGTAGCTCCTGGCATTACTAGAAAGTAGGTCGGAGGCCATCGCTATTAGGTTGGAGGCCATTACTACTAGTAACAAGAAGAAGGGGCACCTCCACACCTCGCTACTAGTAACAATTGGCATCGCTTCTAGAAGCAAGGACGCTACTAGGGGCTCCTGGCCTCGCTTCTAGGCACGCGATTTCACAGTCCTCCCTGATTGAAGAGTACGTGTGGGACAAAATCACTCATGCTTTGTGGTGGAAAAATATGGTTCAATCGTGTGAAGTCTCCTAATGTTCGATCTGCTGTCCTTAGGCCAAGGTGACAAGAAGCTACTAGGAACAAGGGCATTGCTACTAGGAGCAAGAACGCTACTAGTAGCTCCTGGCATTTCTACTAGGAACAAGAAGCTACTAGGAACAAGGGCATTGCTACTAGTAACAAAGGGCATTACTACCAGTAGCATTCTTGCTACTAGGAACACGAAGCGCATCCCCGGCCTTTCACTATTGAGTTCGCTTGGTACCAAGCCTCCTGGCCTTCTGTCGCGCTCCTAGTAACAAAGGGCATCGCTACTAGGAGCAAGGGAGCTACTAGGGGCGATCCTGGCCTTACTACTAGGAGCCAGAACGCTACCAGGTGAAGAAAACTAGTTCGTTTGCATCATCTAACTAAACTTTCTGGCACTCTTGCCTCAAAATTATTGCCCTGAACTGGAAAACCTCAAGACAAACACATTATTTCTTGTCATCATATCCGTTCTTCCTTCTTGGACCTTTCCGATGCACTTTGCAAGGGACCTGCGGCCCCGAGGTGTAATAAACCTTTTCCAAATCTTGCTCACGTTGAAGCAACTCCTTGTAGATATCAAGAGGCCCTCAAGATCTAGACATACCAATGGTCTCCAATGGCCCCGCTTGGTTGTGATTTCCAAGACCAGGGTTCTTTCCCCTCCAGCTTCAACAGCTGATATCAGTACGAGCAGTTACCAGCCTGAAAAGTGTACCCGCGTGGTTGACCCATGGCAAGCCGTGAAGCCGTGGTGCAAGAATGCTAGAGGCCAACCACTGCTTTCTCAGTACTTGCTCTACCAGGTAGTAGCTACTTTCGCCAAACCCCTTGCTAGACCAAGTTTCCCTAAAAATCTCAGAACCGAATCATTAGTGCGATCTCTCCTGCGTCCGGTAGTAGCTACTTGTAGGTACGAGTCGCGAGGTACTACTTCTATCTGGCCAACCCCCTCTCCCCCGCGCGCGCGCGCGAAAAAGATCCTACGATCGCTACCTCTTGCGGCCTACCTACCCCCCTCCTTATATTAAACCCTAACATACTAAATACCCAAACGCATTTTCTTTCTTTTCCTTTCTAATAAGCTACTAGGAACAAGTGCATCGCTACTAGTAACAAGTGCCTTACTAGTAGTAACAAGAAATTCTAATATAAGTTGTTTCTACGTTCGCTTCTTGTTATTACTAGTAAGGCACTTGTTACTAGTAAGGCACTTGTTTCTGCCAAGACTCTGAGCCAAGTCGTTCAAGGAGTCTCTTTTCTCTTCGATGTTTCGGTGCCAACTTGCTTTCGAATCCAGGAGTTCTTCGGCCACTTTGATGCCAACTGAGCGACAGACACAAAGCCACAGAAGCAAGAAGCAAGTTGCTTAAGAAGCACCAAGCAAATTGCCTTCTTGCCTTGCCTTGATAGCGCTGCTGGATCCTTTCTGACCGGGCTTTGGAATAGTACACGTCCTTCTCGTCCTCGCAGCTCTCCACGAACGACGAGATAGCATTCTGATTCATGCGCAAATGAGGACCTAATGCGAGCAGTGGATTGAACTAGGAACAAGAGCATCGCTATTAGGAACAAGAAGCTACTAGTAACAAAGGGCATCTCTAGTAGGAGCAAGAAGCTACTAGGAACAAGAAGCTCTTTTGGGTAGAAGGTCACAAAGCCGTGGTGCCAAGTACAGAGATGCCACCCCATCACTCTTAGGTTGGAGGCTAGTAGCTTACTCCTTGACTTAATTAATTAAGGAGGGAGGGGACGAGCGGGCGACTTCGACTTGTCCTCGGTCATCAGTTCCAGCTTTTCGGCGCTGAGCCCTGCGAATTGGGTCAAGACCTTTGACCTGAACTCAGCTGGGAGATGCCATCGCAAGTAGGTTGGAGGCCGTTGCTACTAGGGTGGATGCCATCGAAAGTAGGTTGGAGGCCATGGGTGGAGGCCATCGCAAGTAGGTTGGAGGCCATCGCTGTCCAAACTTTTCTTCACTCGGGTGAAAATCCCTTTGGTGGACAGCTTCATGTCGGTTTGCTCGTCTCTGGCATCTTATGTTCCCGTCTCCTGGTCCTGAGCGATGGCCTCCAACCCACTAGCAATGCCCTCCTTTCTTCCTTTTCTTTTTTCTTTGTGTCCAAGGGCGATGACCTCCAACCTACTGGCGATGGCCTCCAACCTAGTCTCAAATCTCCCTGGTCTTACTGAGATTGCTCGATCTGGGTTTTGAGCGGTTCCCCCCTGGTAAGTAACCCTGTCACCTCTTCAGCACTCTTTGATCTGTCTGTGGCAAACGTATGAGGTGAGAATTCTGCAACCCATGTATGACAACATCTAGGACAGTAGAAACCATTAATAAACATAAAGTAAAGACAGGTAAGTCTCTGTTTGTGACAGCTGAGTCTCTGCCCCTCCCGACTTTCTGTCCGACTCCCTCGCCTTTCAGCACCATCCTGAATGAACTGCAGGACGTTTTTCTCTTCGAGAATCACCGCCAACTGCTCTTTCCGGCGCTCCTGCCCGCAAGACGAGAAGTGTCGAAAGGAATCGAAAAAGGAGCGAAGGGCATCGCTACTAGCAGCTCCTGGCCTTACTACTAGGAGCAAGGTTTGCCATTAGAAACAAGAAGCTAAGAATTGAAATAAACATCTAAATTGGAATTACATGTAATTAATCAGAATTGGAACAAGAAGCTACTAGGATCTGCGCCCCGGGGGGGTAAAGGACGCTGCTAGGAGCAAAGGCCATCGCTAGTAGAGCCTCCAACTGCCGACTGCCGACTGCAAAGTCCAACACATGAGGTGTCTTTCAATTGGCCTAAAGAGAACACAGGACACAAATATATAAGCAGGAAACCTATTGAAGATAAAAATATCAGCAGTATCGCTGTTCCTTTGGTATTAGTTCCTTCTCTTCTGTTTTTGCAGACCTTTGGTATTAGACGCCTTGCTTCACCACTTTGTCCTGTAATTCCTTCTGTATCGCAAAGCGGTCGCTGGACTTGCCATTCAATGACTCCCTTCTCAGGTCGGACATCACATCTTCAACCTCAGAAAAGCAGGTAGTAACAAAGGGCATCACTACTAGGAGCAAAGGGCCTTACTAGTAGTAACAAGAAGCTATTAGAAACAAGTGCCACGCTAGTAGTAACAAGTGCCTTACTCAAGAAGCTATTAGAAACAATAAACAGAATCTAATTAGAATTAGAATCTAACTAAATTAGTCGCAAAGAAGGCTACTAGGACCTTTTCGCGCGCGCGGGGGGGTGTAGGAACAAGAAGCTACTAGGAGCAAGGACGCTACTAGGGGCTCCTGGCCTTACTACTAGGAGCAAGGGCATCGCTACTAGGCAATAACATTACATCTGTTTACACAAAAAAGAACGGTTCACAGTGATAAGCACGTTACTAGCAATGGCCTCCAACCCAATAAAAACAGAAAGGTTCACAGGTCTTCAAAAAGAGAGAGAAGGAACCAAGACCCTTGAGACATATCACACTGACTGACTGCTCAGACTACTCGTCTGCCTCTTCTCCTTCAACAATCATTTTGTATTTCAAGTTGGAAGTGTTTTCTGCGACCTCTGCGTGCCGCTTCTCTCAACACGAACACATGTTGTCAAAATACTGTGTTTAGGTGTGGTACAAAATAGGCTCAACATGTCGGTTTTCTCTCAAGCTATTCAGCTGCTATTCTTCCTTTCGCTCGATTTTTGTGGGGACAGGCTGTGAAGAGGAAGGGAAAGAGAAGGGAAGAGGAAGGGTAAGAAAGGAAGCTACTAGCACCTTAGCTAGTAGTAGTTTAGCTACTAGCTTAAGCTGTCATAGCTACTAAGAAGCAAATAGACATTGGGAATGCAGAAGGGCTTGGCTTCTTCGCATGGCTTTGGTTCTCAGTTCTTTTTGGGAACTTAATCCTTAGACAATTATTTTGTTCCTTCCTTTCTTCGCATTGTAATTCTTCCTATAGAGACAAAAGGCCGAACAATTTGTCTTTTCACAAACAACTTGACAATCCATTGCTCCCCACTTCCCTTCGGATCATTGACCCAGGGAATAGCAGACTATATTGGACCGTTTTTCCTTTTCTCTTTGTTTGGCGATGGCCTAGCTGTGAGATAAGCATGCCTGCTAAACAAAACGATGAAGTAACGCCCATTGGATAGATCTGGTGGAATTGGCGCATCAAGAGTAGGTATCCACAATCTCTTCAATGCCAGTCGCAATTCCTGCTGGAGAGATTGACGTTGTGATGAAAACTGTGCATAGAGAGGATGTCCTCCCTTTTTCATACTTTAGGTACCTTTGTACAAATATGTTTCCAAATAGTCCAAGCGGCTCTTTGGCGGGCTCTGGCTTCACATTCCTCGATGGTGGTCCTAGCGTTGCTCTTTGAAGGAAGGGATTGAATCGGATTGCAGAAGAAACTCACCAAGGATGTGTTTCTTTCGTAGAATTGTGTTTTTTTCAATTTAACTGTCCTCACTCAATCAATCTTTTGGTGGGCATCCAAACACTGGGAGTTAGTGGGCAATCAAGCTGGGCTGGGTCGGTGGCAAACGAATCATAACAAGAACAGTTCTGGAACGTCATCGCATATATTGTTTTCTTCTTCCTCCATCTTCCTCTTCCTCCGCCTCCCTTGTGTCCTCAGCGCACTAATGTCCTTGGTGGACACAGCGGGTTTCTCAGCTGTCAAGTCTGCGCGGCAGCAAGGATCAGAATCAGGACAATTGTGGAGGCCTCACAGGAAATCCAAACCCATCAGCCATGGCCTCCAGCCTAAGAGCGATGAAGTCCAAAACTCATATCAATGCAACAACTTGCCATCGCTTCCTCCTGCTCACCATTGCCGTACGAATATCTTTCAATATGTCAACTAAATATGATGAATATCGGATGAAAAGCAATCGAAAGGGGCTAATCCTGTTTTCATCGAACCTTGCCTCCCTGAGTGAAAGAACTCTACTCGATAATCCCCTTGGTACCCATATTCCAGTCTCAAAAGGTTAGGCGCCAGTCTCTAGTGAAAAGGAAGACAGAAACTATCAGCGGTCCGAATGATTCTAAATGACATGAACAAAAGAAGATAAAGAACACCTCACACACACAAAATGAAGAACTAGGAGCAAAGGGCATCACTACTAGGAGCAAGGACGCTACTAGGGGCTCCTGGCCGTACTACTAGGAACAAGGACGCTACTAGGAACTTGCTGCACATAATGGTGCCCAAGTGTTCGGACACGACTCACTTCGCCTGTCAAGATATTCATGTCCTCCTTCTTCTCCTGGATCTCTTGGTATGTTTCGTCAGCCTGGCGACCGGCAGACGAAGAGCAGTGGTTGGTTCTTATTCGTTTCTCTTGTTTGTCATTCTTGAGGCCTCTCTTTTCGTGAACGAGTTGTGGTTCCAAGTCTCCATCCCGAACAGGTGTTTACATGAGCCCCGTTCGTAGCGCCGCTCCGTTCGTAGCGAGGCCAGGAGCCCCGTTCGTAGCGTCCGATCGCTCCTACATGCATTATATATGTTGAGCCTCAAGGTTGCTACACTTTTGACATGGGTGACTAGCGGTCCGCCCAACTACATCAACCTCTCCTCGTTTATGATGCAAAGTAGCTCTTCTCTGTCTCATCGGACTTTGACCCCTAAAAGTGCCTCCTAGGAGCAAAGGGCATCGCTACTAGTAACAAGTGCCTTACTACTAGGAACAAGGACGCTACTAGGGGCTCCTGGCCTTACTACCAGGAGCAAGGACGCTACTGGTAGCTCTTGCCCTTACTACTAGGAACAAGAAGCTACTAGTAGCAAATTAGCTATTAGGTTGGAGGCCATCGCTCTTAGGAGCAAGAAGCTACTAGTTGGAGGCCAGAGGTCATTACTACTAGTAACAAGAAGCTACTAGGTGCTTCAGCAGATGGTTCCTTTTCTGTTGGGACTTTGACGGCAAGTGCTTGCTCCTTCACGTCCCTCTCCCCTGCCACCAGGCCCTACCCACCCAACCTTCGAAAACACCTCCACCATTTCTTGGATCACATGTCGGATGGCAGCTCGGCAATCCATGGTGCCGACTGGAGAAGCGCCTTTCAAATGACCCAAGGAACTTTGGGCGTCTACTTTTAGTGACCAAATGCAGCAGATCCACGCACAAGACAAATTATGTGGCAGTTCAGCTCCTTTCCAAATGTGGAAAATGGGCAGTTCTGAAATAAACCATGTGGAACAGGTGATGATGGAAATTCAATACATGCCAAAATAGATATGCTACCCGAGACAATTGTCATGCACGATGTACCTGCAACACTGCAACAGCCGGCTTCAACATGTGTCACCATTTTTTGCAGCTGCCAAGGGTCCAGAAAGGGTCACATGCCACATTGCACCTGCAACAGCGAACGTTTCACAACGTTTAAACGCACGAATTATGGCGGCCTGGCATGTGAGAACGGCTGAGAAATGGCTCTGAATAGTTTGTGCTACATAATTGATCATAGTTGCCCCAGGATGACCAGCATAATCATGATGTTGGATTCGGCTCGCAAGTCCAGAAACAAAACACATGTGGCGCGGTCAAAACATGCTAGCCATTCTGCTGCCATGGTATCGCTCTTCAAGGTTCCCTATCGCTCCACACAGTCCCAATCAACAAAGAATTAACCCCACAATCCCTCTCAAACCTGAGGATTGTTTGTGGTTCCTCTCAGAAGCTACCACGTGTCAATTGTTTCAACAAATTGCGGCCCTTGACAAGCGCTACATGACATGAGGAAACGTGAGGAAACACTAGTAGCGCTAGTGAATTGTGGCTCAGACTGGACTTCTCGGTTTGGGTATGGCTCTAAAACCCATGTTTTTCCAAAAACATGTCAAATTATCATTGGCCTTCTTAGAACGGGAATCACTCTTCAGGGTTCCCTATCGCTGCACACAGGGAGAACTAAGCTTTACAAAGTCAATGGAGGGACTCTAAAACTCTGCATAGGATGTGTTGGCCCTTGCTCACATGAGTTAGGGTGGAGGCCATCACTTTTGGGATGCGGGCCATCGCTTTTAGGATGGAGGCCATTGCTCGTAGATTCTTAGGTTGGAGGCCATCGCTATTAATCTCTCCAAGACAAGTTGTATGCCTTTACTCCCACTACAAAAGTCCCACAGGCAGCGCGAATTTGAATCTCAAAACCACATAAATCAGATGCCCCATGTTTTGTGGGGAATGGTTTCGGGGCCCACGAAATGGCGTGTTGTGATTCAGATCGTCATGGATCGCCCTTTTTTGGCGATCAAAGGACGCTACTAGGGGCTCCTGGCATCGCTACTAGTAACAAGAAGCTACTAGGGGCTCCTGGCCGTACTACTAGGAGCGACAAGTTATTAGGAACAAGAATTCTATAGAATTAGAGTTAAAACTGATCTAAATTTAATTAGAATTTACTTTGAATTAGTAGCAAAAGAAGCTGCTAGGACCTTTTTGCGCGCGCAGGGGGGGGTAGGAGCACCTAGAAGCAATGGCCTCCAACCTACTGGCGATGGCCTCCTCCAACAATGGCCTCCAACCTACTAGCGATGGCCTCCAACCTAGAAGCAATGGCCTCCAACCT